GAAAAGTAATGTTATGCCTATACAGAACAGTCCAATATCGTGTGGTATAAAAGCTTTAGACATTGTTTATAGTGGCATTTAATGTTTAGGTATCCAATTGTTTAGAAATAATGATACTTAGCCACAGAAAATCTCAAACCCCAAATTTTGAAAATAAGAAAACGATTCCAAATTTGGTCATCAAGATTTTTATCAATTTTTGGAAGAATGTTGCTTTCTAAAGGGGAAGGTTGTTCAAGGCTCATATACCAAAGAAGTATGATGCAGGCTCCAGCAAGTTTGTGTAAAGAAATCAATGTGGAATTGTTTAGATTTATTTGGAATTATAAGAATGAAAAAGTGAAAAGAACAACAATGCTAAATGTAAAAGAACTAGGGGGAGCTTCAGCTTTGGATTTTGCCAGTATGAGTAAGGCACTCTGTTTGGCATGGAAACCAAAATATTATTCCACTGATGGAAGCTGGAAATTGTTTTGAGATAAAGGTTTGATAAATGTAGGAGGGTTATCTTTTATTCTAAAATGTAATTATGACCTAAGAAAAATGCATATATTTGCACATATTTCTGATATTTGGAGAGAAAATCACCCACAGGAAACTAAGTACACTTGGAGAAAAAATAATACTATTCAATCTTGGGTTGATTTTTTTATTGTTACCAAATCTGTAGGATGTAGATGTGTTAACTCAAACATCATTCCAAGCATAAAATCAGATCACAAAATTGTTTTGCTAGAAATAGGTAAAGATAGACATTTTGCACCAAATGTTTGGAAAATGAATAATTCGTGTCTTTTAGATGAGGAGTACAGGAATAAAATTAAGGAATTTCTGAAACCTTTTAGTCAGGAAGTATCAGTAAATCCACATGTGGATTGGGAGTGGATCAAGTATTAAAATGATGCAGATTTCGACAGACCATTCTAAAAAGAAAATATATGAAATCAATAGAAATGAAAGAGACTTGATAAGAACATTAGCAATATTGGACTGTCAGTTGTCAGATGGTGAGAATGATAAAGTAGAACGACAATATCTGGAAGCTAAGAATGAGTTTGAAGATATTTATGTTAAAAAGGCTAAAGGTGCTTTTATAAGATCAATAACTAAATGGTTTGAGGAAGGAGAAAAAAGTACTAGATATTTTTACAATTTGGAAAAGCAGAATAAATATAAAATGCACATTTCTTAGATTGTAACAGAAAATGATGAAGTTGTTACAGATGAAATAAGAATTTTGCAACAGAAAGAATCCTTTTATAAACATGTGTATTCCCAAAGTGAAAGGCCAGTAGAATCTGATTTTAATGATTTCTTTAATGTGGTGGGCTATGTTATCAGACATGATCATCCTGGTCAGGCTGTCAAGACTCTGGATGTTTTGTTTTGTCCAATCAACTCCTTCAAAGAAGTAGGAAAGGAGTGGCACGGCAAAGAATTGGTGGCTTTGATCTTGTTTTAAACATTTAGCTCTGAGCTCCAGATTTTCTTAAAGCGAGATTTATACTCGGCCCGAATGTTGTCTTGTATTTGGGTATTCTGGAGCTTGTCTCGAACTTGCATTCCAAGATTCCAAGGTCTGATCTTCCACAAGATGCTCAATAACCCTCCCCTTTGTAACTTGACCGATCCCTCATCAGTTACCTTGCCACGTTTCAGATTAAGAGTATTGCATTTGTCGAGTCAAATGTCAAACCAATATCTGGACACGGGGAAACCGTTTTGTTTTTGTGTTTAGATTAGTATATCCGTGGCAAGTAGCTCGATGTCATCCATTTTAAGGAGATGAGTAAATGGTGTTGGGGATCTGCGCTGACGAGGTCCGGGATGGTAACCCTCCTCTTTATTAAGCAGAAAGGTCAAGGTATTTAAAGACAAACAAAGAAGCAAAGGACTAAAGGGGTCACGATTCCACAGTGCCATTGATTACACAATGATGACTCTTGTATAGAACCCCTACTTGGGCAGAAACAGAGTAAGTGTATACACTGCTGAAGACTCTTGTATCGAACCCCTACATAGGCAGAAAATGAGTAAGTGGTGTGCGGTGGTGTGTGGTCTTGTGCATAGAGCCCAGGTCACAAATCAATCGAAATTAAGCAACATTGGTCACGGAGAGATCTTGGGTGGGTGACCGTGTTCAGCAGCTTGACGACTGAGAGTTTCTGGGACTTCAGTCCTGTCCCACAACGAGGGTGGTCTCATCGTAGTGAGTGAGTTTGTTCATAATTGCCCCAGCAGATATTGGTATCCGGTGGGATACGCCAGATTACTATTAACCACCATAGGTTTGTTTCATGATTTGATCTCCTTAGTTCCAGGGGGCGGGCGATGGCCTAGTGGTCTTGGCGTTTGATTGCTCGTCGCACCGAGGGCCTGAGTTCGGCTCCCCACGTGGGTGCGGCGTGTGGAGCCTATTTCTGGTGTCTCCCCGCTCGTGTTGCGGCGTCGAGCTAAAACTCACTCAATCACTCACCTACTCACTTCTTAGTTCTTGTCTTAACCATGGGGGAGGCAGAACCTTCTGCTCCTTCAGAGAAATTGCTCGTGGCAACCACGGAATTTTCTTTGTTCTTAGTTTCTTTATTACCTTATGTTATAATAAAACAAAAAAACACTTTCACTTGGATACAGAAACACCATTTACGCCCAGGCAAGTTACGATTACTCTAATATTCTTTAACTATGGATACAAATAACAAAATTAGCATAGTTTCAGGTAACTGTAGAGGAGTAGCTGAAAAAGGTAAACGTAAAGAAGTCATGAATTTATATAGAAAAAAGAAATTCTCAATCATATGTTTACAGGACATACATATTTCTGCAGAGTATGAGAACACAATGAGAAATGAATGGGGTTTAGAATGTGTCATTGCTCCATATAAGTCAAACTTAAGAGGTGTTGCCATTCTTCTAAATAATAATTTTGAATATGAAATACACAATGTTTCTAAAGACGAATGTTTCTATAACTGTTGATGACATAAGATTAACCCTTACAAATGTATATGGACCGAACTCTGATGGTCCTTCCTTTTATATATCTCTATTTGATAAGATTGTAAATATGGGTAACGATTCAATTGCAGTATGTGGAGATTGGAATCTTGTCTTAGACCCCTCCATGGACCTTGAAAACTATCAACACATTAATAACCCACAGGCTCGTAAGACTGTCTTGGACCAAATAGACAATTTAAACTTAATAGACGCATGGAGAGAGTTAAACCCTAAAACAAAAAAGTATACATTGTGGAAAGAGAATCCTCGCCAACAAGCCAGATTAGATTTGTTCTTGGTAACTGAAGACCTCTTTAACATAAATAGTAATATATCCATCATACCTGGTTATAAAAGTGACCATTCTGTTGTAACGTTATCTTTTACAACACAAAAAAATAAGGAAAAGGGAAGCGGCTATTGGAAGTTTAACACATCATTATTGAGACGAGAGGAATATATAACACTAGTAATTGACTTACTTAATGAAACAAAACGAGAATACGCAGACCCTACATATTCAGATGAAGAATTAAACGAGATTAATGATGAACACTTACGTTTGACTATCAGTGACATTCTATTTTTAGAGACATTTTTAATAAAACTTAGAGGAAAATCCATCTCATACTCTTCATATCTTAAGAAAAGCAGAACTGCAAAATATAAAGAACTAAAGGAGAATATATGTCATATAGAAGATGAAATAAGAAGTAACTTCCAAAACGTTAATGAAACACTTCTTGCTGATTTATCTAAAAGTAAAAATGAATTGGAAAAAATAAAAGAAGAAGAAATAAAAGGAATCCAAGTTAGAAATAGAATCCAGTGGTATTAAGGGGGATAAACCTACAAATTATTTTTGTCATTTAGAAAATAGAAAGTATACAACTTATTAACTCCCTTATTATTGATAATGGTGAAGAAATAGCAGATGGACGAGAAATAATAGTGGAACAAAAGCGATTCTATGAAAACCTGTATAAATCAAATTGTGACATAGATGAAGACATTAAAGCTGTATTCGAACATATTGCTACTCCTTCTTTAAATAAAGAACAGTCAAATGAACTAGAGCGCGATATTAGTGTTGAAGAACTTTTGCATGATGTTAAATCAATGAAAAATAACAAAAATTCAGGTTTAGATGGCTTCCCTATCGAATTCTTCAAATTTTTCTGGAAAAATCTGAAAATTTGGATTCACCAATATATAAAAGAAACTTTCAACCAGAATTCTATGACTACGACAATGAATAGAGGAGTAATTACATGTATCCCTAAGCCAGGTAAGGATAGAAGATACCTAAAGAATTGGCGACCTATCTCTCTCCTAAACGCATTGTATAAAGTTATAAGTACTTGTATAACAAACAGGATTAAATAAACTTTGAATTTTCTTATAAACGAAAATAAAACAGGATTCATTCCAGGAAGATGCATTACGGAAAACATTAGACTTCTTTATGACATTATGTTTGAAACTAAAAGGCAAAACATAAAAGGTTTACTAATCTTAATTGACTTTGAAAAAGCTTTCGACACCGTGTCAAAATTATTCATTAAGATGGTCCTAGACAAGTTTGGTTTTGGAAGTAACATTCAAAGATGGGTTAACATATTGATTTCTAATGCATCCTCGTGTATGATAAAGAATGGTCACTTGTCCCATCATGTTGTCCCCACGGCGCTTAACGCTTGTCCTCGTGGCGTGGAGTTCAGTGCTATGTCAGTGACCTTATTATTATTCAATATATTTACTGGTGCAGACTCTTGCATAGAACCCGTACTTGGACAGAAACAGAGTAAGTATTTCACTGTGCAGACTCTTATATTGAACCCGTACTTGTGCACAACCAGCGTCGGTTCATTTATTTCATTACTTAACTTGTCTTTGTGTTTTTTCACTTGCATATAAGAGTTGTAACAGTAAACCAGCTGTGACTCCTACAGTAGTTGGATAAAGAGTTATCTAAAGGTTATTGTCCGCGGGCTGTATATCACCTCTCCAACGGGCAATATATAATTTACAAGTGGTCGGACTCCCAAGCATTTATCTTTGCTGTGTTGTTATATTTATAGGCCTGTACGTCAGTGACACATCAGTTGTGCTGGCAGAAACGAGATATCGTGGATCGAAGGCGTCATGGCGTAAGTTCTTACCACAGCCTCAGTGTGCATATGTGTTGTGAGATGCATCTCTTTCAGTATCATATATCACAACACTTGTACAGTTTCTACAGCTAGAACTGCGCTCTGCAATCTGTCACACTATATAATATATACTACAATATATCTTGTTTTATCGGGGCAGCTGACATCCAGTCCCACAAAAAAGTGTTGATAAGTTGGACATCAGTGTTTGAGTAAACTGTCTTGTTAAACCTGCCATTGTGTGGAGTTTGGTAGTGTGTGTGACTCTTAATGCAAAAATACTCAAATGCACTATTTAATTTATCTCCTCTTTCACAAGCAAGGCGTGTCTAATAAGAAGTGTCTGCCTTTACACCAGAAATCTGTCTCGTAAACAGGTCAGTGGTCAGTGTCAATGCTCAATCTCGAACACACGACGAACAAACTGTTGACCTACATATCCAACCTAAATCTTGATGTAGACACACAATGAATTTTCTCGGTCAACAACAACCACAGTCATGTCTGTTGTTGAACCACATCACTGTTTATTATTTCATACTTGAATCTCCAGTTCTACTGCATCAGTGTTTTGTTTCATCCTTCTATCGGCAGTTCTACTGCATCAGTGTGTTTGGATTCATACTTGAGTGTCCAGTTCTACTGCATCAGTGTTTACTGTGTCATCCTTCAATCGGCAGTTCTACTGCATCAGTGTGTACTGTGTCATCCTTCAATTTGGCATTTCTACTGCATCAGTGCTTACTGTGTCATCCTTGAGTCTCCAGTTCTACTCCATCAATGTTTACTGTGTCATCTTTGAGTCTCCAGTTCTACTGCATCAGTGTGTATTGTGTCATCCTTCAATTGGCAGTTCTACTGCATCAGTGTTTACTGTTTCATCCTTCAGTCGGCAGTTCTACTGCATCAGTGTTTACTGTGTCATCCTTCAATTTGGCATTTCTACTGCATCAGTGCTTACTGTGTCATCCTTGAGTCTCCAGTTCTACTCCATCAATGTTTACTGTGTCATCTTTGAGTCTCCAGTTCTACTGCATCAGTGTGTATTGTGTCATCCTTCAATTGGCAGTTCTACTGCATCAGTGTTTACTGTTTCATCCTTCAGTCGGCAGTTCTACTGCATCAGTGTTTACTGTGTCATCCTTCAATTTGGCATTTCTACTGCATCAGTGCTTACTGTGTCATCCTTGAGTCTCCAGTTCTACTCCATCAATGTTTACTGTGTCATCTTTGAGTCTCCAGTTCCACTGCATCTGTGTTTATTGTGTAATCCTTCAATTGTCAGTTCTACTGCATCGGTGTTTACTGTTTCATCCTTTAATCGGCAGTTCTTCCGTATCAGTGTGTTTGGTTTCATACTTGAGTCTCCAGTTCAGCTGCATCAGTGTTTACTGTTTCATCCTTCAATTGGCAGTTCTACTGCATCAGTGTGTTTTGTTTCATCCGTCAGTCGGCAGTTCGACTGCATCAGTGTTTACTGTTTCATCCTTCAATTGGCAGTTCTACTGCATCAGTGTTTATTGTGTCATCCTTCAATTGGCAGTTCTACTGCATCAGTGTTCAATGTACCATCCTTGAGTCTCCAGTTCAACTGCATCAGTGTTTACTGTTTCATCCTTCAAATGGCAGTTCTACTGCATCAGTGTTTATTGTGTCATCCTTCAATCGGCAGTCCTACTACATCAGTGTTTACTGTGTCATCCTTGAGTCTCCAGTTCTACTGCATCAGTGTTCATTGTGTCATCCTTCAATTGGCAGTTCTACTGCATCAGTGTTCAATGTACCATCCTTGAGTCTCCAGTTCAACTGCATCAGTGTTTATTGTGTCATCCTTCAATCGGCAGTTCTACTGCATCAGTGTTTATTGTGTAATGCTTGAGTCTCCAGTTCTACTGCATCAGTGTTCATTGTGTCATCCTTCAATCGGCAGTTCTACTGCATCAGTGTTTACTGTGTCATCCTTGAGTCTCCAGTTCTACTGCATCAGCGTTTACTGTTTCATCCTTGAGTCTCCAGTCTTACTGCATCAGTGTTTATTGTGTCATCCTTCAATCGGCAGTTCTACCCCAGTTAGCATTCATACGTTGGGCCAACGTTGGCAATGGTTTTGCCAACATTGCCAACGTTGGGCCAACGTCCGAATGCTATCTGGGACTGCATCAGTGTTTATTGTGTAATGCTTCAATTGGCAGTTCTACTGCATTGGTGTTTACTGTTTCATCCTTTAATCGGCAGTTCTTGTGTTTGGTTTCATACTTGAGTCTCCAGTTCCACTGCATCAGTGTTTACTGTGTCATCCTTCAATTGGCAGTTCTACTGCATCAGTGTTCATTTGTGTCATCCTTCAATCGGCAGTTCTACTGCATCAGTGTTTACTGTGTCATCCTTGAGTCTCCAGTTCTACTGCATCAGTGTTCATTGTTCCATCCTTCAATCGGTAGTTCTACTGCATCAGTGTTTACTGTGTCATCCTTCAGTCTCCAGTTCTACTGCATCAGTGTTCATTTTACCATCCTTCAATCGGAGTTCTACTGCATCAGTGTTTACTGTGTCATCCTTCATTCGGCAGTCCTACTGCATCAGTGTTCAATGTACCATCCTTCAATTGGCAGTTCTACTGCATCAGTGTTTATTGTGTCATCCTTCAATTGGCAGTTCTACTGCATCAGTGTTTACTGTTTCATCCTTCATTCGGCAGTCCTACTGCATCAGTGTTTACTGTGTCATCCTTGAGTCTCCAGTCTTACTGCATCAGTGTTTACTGTGTCATCCTTGAGTCTCCAGTTCTACTGCATCAGTGTTTACTGTGTCATCCTTGAGTCTCCAGTTCCACTGCATCAGTGTTTACTGTTTCATCCTTGAGTCTCCAGTTCTACTGCATCAGTGTTTACTGTGTCATCCTTCAATTGGCAGTTCTACTGCATCAGTGTGTTTGGTTTCATACTTGAGTCTCCAGTTCCACTGCATCAGTGTTTACTGTTTCATCCTTCAATCGGCAGTTCTACTGCATCAGTGTTTACTGTTTCATCCTTCAATCGGCAGTTCCGCTGCATCAGTGTGTTTTGCGTCATCCTTCAATTGGCAGTTTTACTGCATCAGTGTTTACTGTGTTATCCTTGAGTCTCCAGTTCCACTGCATCAGTGTTTACTGTTCCATCCTTCAATCGGCAGTTCTACTGCATCAGTGTTTACTGTGTCACCCTTCAATTGGCAGTTCTACTGCATCAGTGTGTTTAGTTTCATCCTTGAGTCTCCAGTTCTACTGCATCAGTGTTTACTGTGTCATCCTTCAATTGGCAGTCCTACTGCATCAGTGTTCAATGTACCATCCTTCAATCGGCAGTCCTACTGCATCAGTGTTTACTGTGTCATCCTTGAGTCTCCAGTTCAGCTGCATCAATGTGTATTGTGTCATCCTTCAATTGGCAGTTCTACTGCACCAGTGTGTTTGGTTTCATCCTTGAGTCTCCAGTTCCACTGCATCAGTGTTTACTGTTTCATCCTTCAATTGGCAGTTCTACTGCATCAGTGTTTACTGTGTTATCCTTGAGTCTCCAGTTCTACTACATCAGTTTTTACTGTGTCATCCTTGAGTCTCCAGTTCTACTGCATCAGTGTTTATTGTGTCATCCTTCAATTGGCAGTTCTACTGCATCAGTGTTTACTGTTTCATCCTTGAGTCTCCAGTTCAACTGCATCAGTGTTTATTGTGTCATCCTTCAATTGGCAGTTCTACTGCATCAGTGTTTGCTGTGTCATCCTTCAATCGCCAGTTCTAGTGCATCAACGAGTTTTGTTTCATCCTTGAGTCGAAGTTTGTAAAAGCAGTTGCGCTGTTCACATTAATATGTGATGCATACAATTACTTCTACAGCAATATAACACTGATAATGTATATATCTTCAGCTATGATTTGAACCGAAACTTGATTAATGTTGAACATAGGTGGATAGTCTCAAGATTCTTTTACAACCGTTTCAAAATCTCATTCATACAAGTTTTGTTCACCTTGACCCTGGGCCTGATTTTTAGAGAAAAGCGTCCACCCGCCCGCTCCGACCTGGAGAAAGGCGTGAATGGCCTACACCTGAATGACGTGGCCCTGGACACCAGGGCACTGCGCCCAAGGTTCCATTATGACGGCACCGTTACAGAGCCCCTCGTCCCACCCATCTACCATTCCTCTACATACAAGTTGAAGTCAGTCGATGACTTCCTGAAAGTCATGCATGAGGTGAGGTTAAAAGTATACACTACGATTACCTTTTGGTTATATCACGGATTTACGGATCATCACAGTGTATTGAAAACAGATGCTCAAGTCCAAAGGAAACAAGAAATATTTCGTGAATGTTAGCCAGTATGCCCAGTTAAGACATATTTACACTCTAATCTCACAGATTGTTCAGTAGTACAGTTGTCTAAACAGGCATAGGTGCAGCCTCAGTTCACCACGAAGATACATAACAATCTAGTTATAGTGGAATTCCGTTGTGTTTCAGGGTGGGTCAGTGTATTCCCGTCTGTCCAACATCACCACAGAATCTACCGAAAGTGCAATCAACGCCTTGGAGGGTGGGGCGGGCAGTCTGGTGTTTGCCAGCGGTATGGCAGCCATCTCCACTGTGTTTCTAGCTCTCCTCCAAAAGGGGGACCACATTGTATGTATAAGAAAACAGAACATGATTACTACTAATAGGGTCATGTTCTAAAATGTTCTACTATGTTCTACCATGTTCTAGTGACAATGGTAGGTATAGTATACTAAGACATAATTAGTCACCACGTTGTTGGTATGGTATACTAGTACATAATTAGTCACCGCGTTGTAGGTATGGTTTACTAGGACATAATTAGTCACCACGTTGTTGGTATGGTATACTAGGACATAATTAGTCACCACGTTGTAGGTATGGTTTACTAGGACATAATTAGTCACCACGTTGTAGGTATGGTTTACTAGGACATAATTAGTCACCACGTTGTAGGTATGGTTTTAACTAGTACATCATTAGTGACCACGTTGTAGTATGGTATGCTAGGACATACTTAGTGACCACGGTGTAGGTATGGTTTTCTAGTACATAATTAGTCACCACGTTGTAGTATGGTATGCTAGGACATACTTAGTGACCACGGTGTAGGTATGGTTTTCTAGTACATAATTAGTCACCACGTTGTAGTATGGTATGCTAGGACATACTTAGTGACCACGGTGTAGGTATGGTTTTCTAGTACATAATTAGTCACCACGTTGTAGTATGGTATGCTAGGACATTATTAGTCACCACGTTGTAGGTATGATATGCTAGGACATAATTAGTCACCACGTTGTAGTATGGTATGCTAGGACACAATTAGTGACCACGGTGTAGGTATGGTTTTCTAGTACATAATTAGTGACCAAGTTGTAGGTATGGTTTTCTAGTACATAATTACTGACCAAGTTGTAGGTATGGTTTTCTAGTACATAATTAGTGACCACGTTGTAGTATGGTATGCTAGTATATAATTAGTGACCAGGTTGTAGGTATGGTTTTCTAGTACATAATTAGTCACCAAGTTGTAGGAATGGTTTTCTAGTACATAATTACTGACCAAGTTGTAGGTATGGTTTTCTAGTACATAATTAGTCACCACGTTGTAGTATGGTATACTAGTACATAATTAGTGACCACATTGTAGGTATGGTATACTAGTACATAATTAGTGACCACGTTGTAGGTATGTAATGCTAGGACATAATTAGTGACCACGTTGTAGGTATGGTATACTAGCACATACTCAGTCACCACGTTGTAGGCATGGTTTACTAGGACATAATTAGTCACCACGTCGTAGGTATGGTTTACTAGCACATACTCAGTCACCACGTTGTAGGCATGGTTTACTAGGACATAATTAGTCACCACGTTGTAGGTATGGTTTACTAGCACATACTCAGTCACCACGTTGTAGGCATGGTTTACTAGGACATACTTAGTGACCACGGTGTAGGTATGGTTTTCTAGTACATAATTAGTGACCACATTGTAGGTATGGTATACTAGTACATAATTAGTGACCACGCTGTAGGTATGTAATGCTAGGACATAATTAGTGACCACGTTGTAGGTATGGTATACTAGCACATACTCAGTCACCACGTTGTAGGCATGGTTTACTAGTACATAATTAGTCACCAAGTTGAAGGTACGGTTTACTAGGAGATATATAGTGACCATGTTATAGGTATGGTTTGCTAGGACATAATTAGTGACCACGTTGTAGGTATGGTATGCTAGGGCATAATCAGTGATCTTGTTGTAGTTATGGTTTACTAGGACATAATTAGTGACTGCGTTGTAGGTATGGTTTATTAGGACATAATTAGTGACCACGTTGTAGGTACGGTATACTAGGACATAATTAGTGATCACGTTCTAGGTATGGTATGGTAGGACATAATTAGTCACCGCTTTGTAGGTATGGTATGCTAGTACATAATCAGTGACCACGTTGTAGTTACGGTTTACTAGTACATAATTAGTGACCAAGTTGTAGGTTTGGTATACTAGTACATAATTAGTGACCACGTTGTAGGTATGGTATACTAGTACATAATTAGTGACCACGTTCTAGGTATGGTATACTAGTACAAAATTAGTGACCACGTTGTAGGTATGGTATGCTAGGACATAATTAGTGACCATGTTGTAGGTGTGATATACTAGGACATAATTAGTGACCATGTTGTAGGTATGGTTTACTAGTACATAATTAGTGATCCTGTTGTAGGTATGGTATACTAGTACATAGTTAGTGGCCATGTTGTAGGTATGGTCTACGAGGACATAATTAGTGATCATGTTGTAGGCATGGTTTACTAGTACATAATTTGTGATCACGTTGTAGATATGGTATACCAGGACATAATTAGTGACCATGTTGTAATTATGGTATACTAGTATAATTAGTGACCATGTTGTACGTATGGTTTACTAGGACATAAGTAGTGACCATGTTATAGGTATGGTATACTAGGACATAACCAGTGACCACGTTGTAGGTATGTAATGCTAGGACATAATTAGTGACCACGTTGTAGGTATGGTATACTAGCACATACTCAGTCACCACGTTGTAGGCATGGTTTACTAGGACATAATTAGTCACCACGTCGTAGGTATGGTTTACTGGCACATACTCAGTCACCACGTTGTAGGCATGGTTTACTAGGACATAATTAGTCACCACGTTGTAGGTATGGTTTACTAGCACATACTCAGTCACCACGTTGTAGGCATGGTTTACTAGGACATACTTAGTGACCACGGTGTAGGTATGGTTTTCTAGTACATAATTAGCGACCATTTTGTAGGTATGGTATACTAGGACATAATTAGTGATCACGTTCTAGATATGGTATATTAGGATATAATGGGTGACCAAGTTGTAGGTATGGTATACTAGTACATAATTAGTGACCACGTTGTTGGTATGGTATACTAGTACATAATTAGTGACCACGTTGTAGGTATGGTTTACTAGGACATAATTAGTGACCACGTTGTAGGTTTGGTATACTAGTACATAATTAGTGACCATGTTGTAGGTATGGTTTACTAGGACATAATTAGTGACCACATTGTAGGTATGGTTTACTAGGACATAATTAGTGACCACGTTGTAGGTATGGTTTACTAGGACATATGTAGTGACCATGTTATCGGTATGGTATACTAGGACATAATTAGTCAGTACGTTGTAGTATGGTATGGTAGGACATAATTAGTCACCACGTTGTAGGTATGGTATACTAGTACATAGCCAGTGACCACATTGTAGGTATGGTTTACAAGGATATAATTAGTGACCAAGTTATAGGTATGGTATACTAGTACATAATTAGTGACCATGTTGTAGGTATGGTACACTGGTACATAATTAGTGACCACATTGTAGGTATGGTTTACTAGTACATAATTAGTGACCGCGTTGTAGGTATGGTTTACTATGACATAATTAGTGACCACTTTGTAGGTATGGTATACCAGGACATGATTAGTGACCGTGTTGTAGGTATGGTATACTAGTACATAATCAGTGACCATGTTGTAGGCATGGTATACTAGAACATAATCAGTGATCTTGTTGTAGTTATGGTTTACTAGTACATAATTAGTGACCAAGTTGTAGGTATGGTATACTAGGACATAATCAGTGACCAAGTTGTAGGTATGGTATACTGGGACATAATCAGTCACCACATTGTAGGAATGGTATACGTGTACATAATCAGTGATTGTGTTGTAGGTATGGTATACTTGTACATAATTAGTGACCACGTTGTAGGTATGGTATACTAGGACATAATTAGTTACCGTGTTGTAGGTATGGTATACTAGTACATAATCAGTGACCATGCTGTAGGTATGGTATACTAGAACATAATCAGTGATCTTGTTGTAGTTATGGTTTACTAGTACATAATTAGTGACCGCGTTGTAGGTATGGTTTACTGGGACATAATTAGTGACCACGTTGTAGGTATGGTATACTAGGACATAATTAGTGACCGTGTTGTAGGTATGGTATACTAGTACATAATCAGTGACCATGTTGTAGGTATGGTGTACTATAACATAATCAGTGATCTTGTTGTAGTTATGGTATACTAGTACATAATTAGTGACCAAGTTGTAGGTATGGTATACTAGGACATAATCAGTGACCAAGTTGTAGGTATGGTATACTAGGACATAATCAGTCACCACATTGTAGGAATGGTATGCTAGTACATAATCAGTGACTGTGTTGTAGGTATGGTATACGTGTACATAATTAGTAACCACGTTGTAGGTATGGTATACTAGGACATAATTAGTTACCGTGTTGTGGGTATGGTATACTAGGACATAATTAATGACCATGTTGTAGGTATGGTATGCTAGGACATAATCAGTGACCGCGTTGTATTGTGGTATACTAGTTACCTGTTTATTCCACACAGGTGATGAACGTGCCGGTGTACAGCGGCTCTCAGGTGCTCCTCAAAAGGCTTGTCCGTAAGTTTGGTCTGGGGGTGTCATGGGTACCCGCAGGCTGCTCTGTAGATGAATATCGCCGAAACATCAAACCGAACACCAAGGTAAATGGTATGATGGCCACGAACAACTCTCTCATCATATGTGGTATAAAGTGATTATTGATACATCTTATATCAAAGAGATCACATATCGATAGAGACTCGATTCCGAATTTATCCAATGTTCACCATAATTACAACACAGTCATGGAGATATACCAGTAAGTCTTAAACACCTTCATATGACTCACATCAGCAGACTACATAAGTTCTCTTTTATGAGCGTTTAATTCAGCATTCTAAAAATATAGCATGTGAAATATATATCCTGTGTGCTGAAAGAGGAAATATTATCGTCCTATATATATCAATGACATATAACCTGTATGCATCACCCGTATATCAAGCACTTGCTCCTAAGGGTACTGTTTAGTGTACAGTGTATATACTGTCTTGGTTCTGTTTTCAGATTATCTATGGCGAGAGTCCCTGCAATCCGGACATGTCCATCCTAGATTTTGAGGAGTTTGGTAAACTGAGCAGCTCGCTAGATGGTGTGATATCTGTCGTGGATTCCACATTCGGCTCCTGCTATCTGCAACAGCCAAACAAACACGGCATAGACATAAGCCTTCACAGCTGGTTAGTTGATTTATCAAGAGACGGTTGTCATCACAGTGACGAGGTATTGGCACCATGTGGTCTGCTGTCTTCACAGTGACAATAACCATCGTACATTGTGTTCCACTGTCTACACAGTGACACTGATCATTGTACATTACGTTCTACTGTCTACACAGTGACAATGACCCTTGTACATTGTGTTCTACTGTCTTCACAGTGACAGTGACCCTTGTACATTGCGTTCTACTGTCTCCACGGTGACAATGATCCTTGTACATTGTGTTCTACTGTCTAGACAGTGACGTGGGACTCATACATTAATAAAGATTGTGTGTTTCACAGTCTACACAGTGACAGTGACAGTCTGGTACATTGTGTTCTACTGTCTACATAGTGACAATGATCCTTGTACATTACGTTCTACTGTCTACACAGTGACAATGATCCTTGTACATTGCATTCTACTGTTTACACAGTAACAGTGATCTTTATACATTACGTTCCACTGTCTACACAGTGACAATGATCATTGTACATTACGTTCTACTGTCTACACAGTGACAATGACCCTTGTACATTGCGTTCTACTGTCTCCACAGTGACAATGACCCTTGTACATTTCGTTCTACTGTCTACACGGTGACAATGACCCTTGTACATTGTGTTCTACTGTCTCCACGGTGACAATGATCCTTGTACATTACGTTCTACTGTTTACACAGTAACAGTGATCTTTCTACATTACGTTCTACTGTCTACACAGTGACAATTATCCTTGTACATTACGTTCTACTGTCTACACGATGACAATGATCTTTGTACATTACGTTCTACTGTCTACACAGTGACAATGATCATTGTACATTACGTTCTACTGTCTACACGGTGGCAATGATCTTTGTACATTACGTTCTACTGTCTACACAGTGACAATGATCATTGTACATTACGTTCTACTGTCTACACGGTGGCAATGATCCTTGTACATTACGTTCTACTGTCTACACAGTGACAATGACCCTTGTACATTACGTTCTACTGTCTACACGGTGGCAATGACCCTTGTACATTACGTTCTACTGTCTACACGGTGGCAATGATCCTTGTACATTACGTTCTACTGTCTACACGGTGACAATGATCCTTGTACATTACGTTCTACTGTCTACACAGTGACAATGATCCTTGTACATTACGTTCTACTGTCTACACGGTGGCAATGATCCTTGTACATTACGTTCTACTGTCTACACGGTGGCAATGAGCCTTGTACATTACGTTCTACTGTCTACACGGTGACAATGATCCTTGTACATTACGTTCTACTGTCTCCACAGTGACAATGATCCTTGTACATTGTGTTCTACTGTCTCCACAGTGACAATGATCCTTGTACATTACGTTCTACTGTCTACACGGTGACAAAGACCCTTGTACATTGTGTTCTACTGTCTCCACAGTGACAATGATCCTTGTACATTACGTTCCACTGTCTACACAGTGACAATGATCCTTGTACATTGTGTTCTACCGTCTCCACAGTGACAGTGATCCTTGTACATTGTGTTCTACTATCTACACGGTGACAATGATCCTTGTACATTGTTTTCTAATGCGTGCACAGTGACCATCGTATGTTGTGTTCTACTTTCTGCACACTGTCAAAGATCCTTGTACATGGTGTTTTGCTGTTTGCGTAATGGCGATGATATTTGTACTTCGCCTGACTGTCTACACTGTGACGGGGGGTGGGGAGTTGATATTATTGGATGTGTTTAACGCAGTGTGGTATGTGGTATGTGACTTATAACTGCAATTTCCCCTGCAGCACCAAGTACATGGGAGGACACTCCGATCTGATCGCCGGCAGTGTCACTACCAGGACAGTGGACCTGTGGGAGAGACTCAAGACGTGGCAAACGAGCCTTGGCTGTATGTTGGTGAGATATAGCACTTCTTTGATTGGCATTCTAGTAGTTGAGGAGATGAAGAATGAGCACATTTTTTATGGATACACAACTTCTTTATTCTGTATTGGCGACGTTTCGACATAGACTCTAATGTCGTTGACAAAGACATAAGAATCTATGTCTAAACGTCGCCTATACAGAATAAAGAAGTTGAATATCCATAAGAATTGTCCTCATTCTTCGAGATATAACTCTCTCAACATGGCATTTTAGCCACCTTCACCATTGTGAAGTATGAACGTCATGCAATATGTCAACCTTTGTAGTACTGAAATACCAGATTACCACTTACATATATATGTCCACCCATATAGTAGTGAAGTCGATGGATGGATAGATGGATGGAAGAGCAGTTTTTACAGAGTATACCACATTTATGCTGGTGTTGCAGTCCCCTCACGACTCCAGCCTGCTGCTGAGGGGACTGAAGACGTTGCCCATCCGCATGAAGAAGCACAGCGAGAACGCCATGGCGGTAGCCAAGTACCTGGAAGGACACCCGAAGGTGGATAATATTACCTGTCAGTTAGGTTCAAGCAGCTAATATGTAGGTCCATCGTATTCTGTCCATGGTATTCTGTAGAACGTACTTGCAGTCAAGGCTATAAAACAGTTTTGGATAATCAATCATAGTTCCCGAAAGTGAATTGATTTACATTCCCAAGGTGAATGCGTTTGGATTTCTGAACAGTTAATCAGGTATATCACAGCGTGTGGGTTACCAACAGGAGGAACGCCAGGAGTGTCTTGTCTACCACTTTGGTGAAACCCACGGGTTGTGGCACCGATAAACCATAACCGGGAAGACACCCTCCCTCACGTTTCAGACTCCTTAGACAACTAGGTCACACGTGCCCACTACATCAGTAGGTACTTGTGTCCCGTCGTGTCTCTGCCGCTGCATCTGTGGGAATTTAGTTTATGCAATGTATATAATTGTACAAATGTTTAAATCGACATGTTACCGGAACCTCGAGTATGATATGGCATTAATATAGGTTGATAAAATACCTGTATAACATGTAACCAAACATAACGTTTGGGAAGTTTCTGTCTGACAGTTAATACAACCATTAGCTGTCAGCATGCATGGGTTGAGGCTGTCTAACGTAATGATGTATGTATAGGTAAACCGAGTGATGTATCCAGGCCTGCCGTCACATCCTGGACATGAAGTCGCAAAAAAGCAGATGACGTCATTTGGCGGGATGATCATGGCAGATATCAAGGGAGGGGTTGCAGGTGGTCGCGCTGTAGCCGAAGTAAGCTTATTTAGTCATTAGACACAAACTGTAGACCTGTTTGGTTTCATGTTCTGTCTTTGTTGCCGAGAACCATTCCAAACATACAAAAGTAAAGCACAAAGTGTGGCACCTTGTACGCCCTGCCGTTCAGACTTGGGGAAACGTCTTTGCAGTCAAGCAGGTAGGTGCCCCCATTTACCTCTTACACAAACGTGTGAATACCATGGCTTAGTTCGTAATCGTTCAGATTAGTCTGCACACAAGTATCATCAATTATTGCCTCAATCTTTCACGGACATATGTGTAATTTATTGCAAGCCTTCGGAATTAAGGTTAACTCCACTTAAAAGGTATTCTGTGGTATGACATCATGTTAGGGATTGGTCATTCATTGTGTGAGTCTGACTGGTGAGATTAGTCTTAGAGCTGTATCACGTTTAATTCATATCTTGTATCTTGCATTTAATGTGACACCTGTTTATGGTACTCACAAGGACAGTCGTTCTTTCCCGTGACACGCCCACCAGCAACACCAGGAGAAAAACACGCTGACGAATGAGAGGCTTCGAGATGAAATATTTGTAGTGACACAACAGACTGTGTACCACGACGATGTTGCTTGTTAAGGAATGGATGTAGGTGACAATGCTTGGTTTGTATATGACTGCTGTACTGCAATACATTGTATCCGTAATCAACAGAGCCTGAGGATAGTGACCCTGGCAGTGTCCCTGGGTGGAGTGGAGAGCATCCTGGAGCACCCCATCACCATGACTCACGGCTCCTACCTCCTGACTCCCGAGGAGATCGCAGAGAACAGGATAACCCCCGGACAGCTGAGAATCAGGTAACAGTGACCTGTCGTCGTGCATCACACATAATACAAACCGTTACACTACCAGCACAGCTACCCGGTGCTGGTGGAACATTCGATGGAGGACTTAGTTCGTAATCGTTAATCTCGCTTTCGAGGAACCAAACCATTTTCGGACGCAAGTGTCGTTGGTGCCCAGACCAGAAAACAAAACCAAAACAACTACACAAGATTCATCTATTTTATTTCATGCCTGATCCTAAGTCAGCCTCATTTCTGGCAATATTTATGAATATATTTACAGTATTGGTATCGAGGACGCAGACGACCTTATCGCCGACTTCAAGCAAGCCTTGGACAAAGTGGTTGTGTGAAAAAAGTTCAGCTCAGGACAAGATCAAGATGTTATGCAGAATTGATATTATACAGAGCAACCGATAAAAACATTACATACAAGTTCCCATTGCAGACAGCTTACAAATGCAAACATCCAGTCCTTGGATAGCTTCCAAGAAACCCGCACTGTCCTAGTGTCAAGGGGTCAAAGATCATGCCATCAAAACTTCATCTCAGCTTCAAACAACAGATATGAAAACAAACTTTACAATAGCGCCCTGACTTCATAATTTGCATTCATCTTAAAGCTTCTATAGAAGTATGGGATGATTAGAAGTGATGCGAGTGACTCACAACGTTGTACCTGCACTGCTCTATCTGTAACTTGGACCCTAATGTCAGAGTCTTCTACTGGTTTAAAGACATTAGTTCATTTCTGTACTCGACTAATAAAGCAGACAAATACTTTGTCCAGTATCCGTTGAAGTCAATGCTTATTTCTATTTATAAAATGCAGTCTTGTGACATATTGAATAAACAGTTTCCTTATACGAAGGACTCGGCATATGATTGTCAATTATTTATATTTGATGGGCATGGTGGGCGAGCTAGCTCGTCTGAGGCGCCGCGCTAGTAAGTGAAATGTGCCTGGATCGAGCCCCACTTGTGACCGGGTGTAAATGCCTTGGAGCTACCATTACTTGCAGGCTCTTTCAGTGTTGTCACAACCCCTAGTGAGCAGTACACAACCCTGTGCGCTTAAAAGAACCCACTCATCCGACGGTAGGTGACCAGATGGTGGACACACGAAAACGTACAGGCAGCTAGTTGCGGGTATAGGAACGTGCACTATCATTGGACAAAGTGCTGTGACTATGTGTCCCAGTTCATCCAGCTACAAATGGGTACCTTGTGAGGATGAGGATGTGTGATAACTCGCTGCACCTAACAGGCTGCAGGAGTTGAATACTCCCCAGGGAGTTGAGTTGGTTAAAAGAATGTCAGAAAAAAGACATCCGTTGATAAAGGAAACACTCAAGCACCTTGAGCATGTGCTAGTTGTGTGGATATGTGCAGTATATAAATATCCTATCATCATCATCACAGTTATATCCTTGTACCATTAATTGATTATGCCCTGTGAACGGACTAGACGGGTTAATGCACAAATACTAAACTACTTCTAGACTCGCCGAAGAAGGAAACTGTCACAGAGTGACTTTTTGACCCTCTTTTTTTTCAGAACATATTATCTTCTATTATCACATATTACAGAACTCTCACTAATGGTGAACTATTGTCATTGGGAAAATCGGGTGTTCATTAATTTCTTTTGAGTGGTATGGTAGGATTGCTGAGGCCGGGTAACGTTTCCCGCTACAGTCAGCCATTTAAAAGTATATCAGTCCAAAACATTCACTTTTAAATCTGAACGTTATTGTTTTGACACGCTGGTTATTTCGAAAATATCCATGTATGCAACTAAATTTTGTACATGCCAGAACATCATTGCATATGAATATCACGAACGAAAACAAGTATAAGATTTGAAACTGAAGTTAAAATTCTAAAACACAAGTCAACTATGTAACGTCATATATGTAACTAGTCCATGGTAATAGTTATTTGACAGCTTCTTCCTCTGCTACTTCGCATCATATGACCTGGCTAACCACTGCTTTACAGGACCATGCAGTGTCTGTATGACATCAGGGTCTTTGCATCATATGACCTGGCTAACCACTGCTTTACAGGACCATGCAGTGTCTGTATGACACCAGGGTCTTTGCATCATATGACCTGGCTAACCACTGCTTTACAGGACCATGCAGTGTCTGTGTGACATCAGGGTCTTTGCATCATATGACCTGGTTAACCACTGCTTTACAGGACCATGCAGTGTCTGTATGACACCAGGGTCTTTGCATCATATGACCTGGCTAACCACTGCTTTACAGGACCATGCAGTGTCTGTATGACATCAGGCATCACATGACCTGGCTAACCACTGCTTTACAGGACCATGCAGTGTCTGTATGACATCAGGGTCTTTGCATCATATGACCTGGCTAACCACTGCTTTACAGGACCATGCAGTGTCTGTATGACATCAGGCATCATATGACCTGGCCAACCACTCATTTACAGGACCATGCAGTGTCTGTATGACATCAGGGTCTTTGCATCATATGACCTGGCTAACCACTGCTTTACAGGACCATGCAGTGTCTGTATGACATCAGGGTCTTTGCACCATATGACCTGGTTAACCACTGCTTTACAGGACCATGCAGTGTCTGTATGACATCAGGGTCTTTGCATCATATGACCTGGCTAACCACTGCTTTACAGGACCATGCAGTGTCTGTATGACATCAGGCATCATATGACTTGGCCAACCACTCATTTACAGGACCATGCAGTGTCTGTATGACATCAGGGTCTTTGCATCATATGACCTGGCTAACCACTGCTTTACAGGACCATACAGTGTCTGTGTGACATCAGGGTCTTTGCACCATATGACCTGGCTAACCACTGCTTTACAGGACCATGCAGTGTCTGTATGACATCAGTGTCTTTGCACCATATGACCTGGCTAACCACTGCTTTACAGGACCATGCAGTGTCTGTATGACACCAGGGTCTTTGTATCACATGACCTGGCTAACCACTGCTTTACAGGACCATGCAGTGTCTGTGTGACATCAGGGTCTTTGCACCATATGACCTGGCTAACCACTGCTTTACAGGACCATGCAGTGTCTGTATGACATCAGGCATCATATGACCTGGCTAACCACTGCTTTACAGGACCATGTAGCGTCTGTATGACATCAGGCATCACATGACCTGGCTAACCACTGCTTTACAGGACCATGCAGTGTCTGTATGACATCAGGGTCTTTGCATCATATGACCTGGCTAACCACTGCTTTACAGGACCATGCAGTGTCTGTATGACACCAGGGTCTTTGTATCACATGACCTGGCTAACCACTGCTTTACAGGACCATGCAGTGTCTGTATGACATCAGGGTCTTTGCATCATATGACCTGGCTAACCACTGCTTTACAGGACCATGCAGTGTCTGTATGACATCAGGGTCTTTGCATCATATGACCTGGCTAACCACTGCTTTACAGGACCATGCAGTGTCTGTATGACATCAGGGTGTTCGCATCATATGACCTGGCTAACCACTGCTTTACAGGACCATGCAGTGTCTGTATGACATCAGGGTCTTTGCATCATATGACCTGGCTAACCACAGCTTTACAGGACCATGTAGTGTCTGTATGACATCAGGGTCTTTGCATCAGGTCTCTCTCTGTTTGGTGTTTAATTTTGTGTACAATCTTAGTGAATAAGTGCATGTACATTACTAGAAAGGAAATATAAGAATTTTGTCTATATTGCACGCATAACATATCCACCAATGTAACATGTACTTGGGGGGTAATTGAAAACAATTGAAGTTAACTTCACGTGGAAACTGGTATATTTAGTACCAAGGTATGGCAACAGGACACGTGTTTGGTGACATGCTGTCGAAAACACAGTCCAGTCAATCCGCCGCGATCACGGATAATACGGATGAAACTCCCTGTTGCTTTCACGCGCATACTGGCGAGTCATTCTGGTCTGTTCAGAGATATACCGTCAAACCAGCGCTCTTCTTCAGATATACAGCCGTATCCAACTGGTGTGTTCAGAGATATACCGTCAAACCAGCGCTCTTCTTCAGATATACAGCCGTATCCAACTGGTGTGTTCACAGATATACCGTCAAACCAGCACTCTTCTTCAGATATATAGCCGTATCCAACTGGTGTGTTCACAGATATACCGTCAAACCAGCGCTCTTCTACAGATATACAGCCGTATCCAACTGGTGTGTTCACAGATATACCGTCAAAACATGTTCAAAACTTTCGAGGTACATTCGAAGTGGAACAAGCATTGTCACTAAGTGGTCCTTCACACTTATTTCGAATTGACAGGAATCAAGGAGAATCAGCCAGAAAAAAATATTTCCAAAATTCGAACCGCATTCGGGAGAGAATGTCTAAATAAACATTTTTTTCAAGATTTGTAAGAATGTTGTTGGAATACTTAGAACGCACTTCGAACCCGCCTCGAAGTATTCTTACTCATTCCAAATGTACTAGATCACGAATGCAGTTCGAATGAATCGGAATACAGTAGGAATAACTAGAACGCCGTTAGAATACACTAAGAATACTTAAAATGAATTTCGACTGCAGTACGAGTCCGGTTCGATTGCTGCGTGAATAGCACTCGAATTTCAGTTGGAACGTACCTCGAATGCTGCACGGAATGCATTCAGAACCTTCTTGGAATGGCCCCCGAATGTGGGTTGAATGTTAAAGAATTAAAACAGAATGCAGCTCGAATATTTCAAATGTCCTTCAAATGCACTTAGAATGTAACACGAATGGCCGGTATGCATCAAGAAAGCTGCCGGAATTTTCCACGATGGGGTATAAAAGCCGGTTGAATCTGGACTATTCATCAGTCACTGCCCAACTCCCATAGAGTATGGACCACCTGGACCATGTTGCGGTGCTCCCGATTGCCGTCCTCAAGCAATCCCACATTGAAAGAGATGTTGAGAAAACAGGAGAAGACCCAGGAGATTCCAGACCAGACCATGACTGACAGAGGAAAGGAGGAGGCTGTTTGACATTACACAAGACTGATGGAAGAGCTCAGAGTTGGGGACACGCAGTCATTCTTCAACTACCTGCCATGTTTGATGAGTTGGTGCAGAAAGTGGGACCAAGAATACAGAAGCAGAATACATATATGAGAAAGGTGCTACCTCCAGGCTTGAAGCTAGCCATCACATTGAGGTTCCTGGCTTTAGGTGATACCACAGCATCATGTACAGCTTCCGTGTGGCAAGGAACACAATCAACCAGATCATCCCAGAAGTATGTAAGGTCATTGTGGAGGAATACAAGGATGAGGTTATCATCTGCCCTACCACTCCAGAAGAATGGACACCCATAGAAGAGGTATTCAGAAACAGGTGGAATATACCTCATGCCGCAGGAGCTTTAGATGACAAACATGTGACCATTAGGAACCCTGCCAAGGGCAGCTCATTGTACCACAACTACAAGGGCTTCTTTTCTGAGGTCCAAATGGCCCTTGTTGGCGGACGTTGGTGCTTACGGAAGCATGTCTGATGCTCAGATCTCCAACAAGTGCGAGCTCAAGGATTGTCTTGAAGACGGGAGCATAGGATTTCCTAATCCGTTCGCCTTACCACAAGATGACTAGCGTATGCCATGCTTTATTCTGGGAGATTATGCCTTTGGCTTAAGAGCCTTCTTGATGAAACCGTATGGGAGACGAGAGAATCAACAACTACAGGATCAGTCGGGGCCCACGGGTAGTGGAAAATGCATTTGGAATCATGGCCCACAGTTGGCAAATCCTCCGCGCCACCACGCTGTCAAGGCCTTCCGTTGTGAAGGACATCATTGAATGCTGTCTGCCTGCACAACTTGATGAGGACTCGTTATCCTAATCTCCACAATGGTATGGTGGATGAACAGCACAACGTGGTGCCAGGAGGCCGGAGACAACTTACGCAGCTTGAAGGTGTGAATGATGTCTGAAGTTTCAGTGACGTTTTTAAGGGATTCGGCGGTGTTCTGATGACTCCAGGGATCATTTGAAGAGCATTCGAGACGTTCTGACTGTATTCAAGGTGCATTCGATGTACATTCGAGCTGTATTCCAAGTGCAATCGAGATATTCCGATACGTTTGAGGAGTATTCCACCTAAATTCCACCAGCAATCGAAGTACATTCGAGGCGCATTCGGGACATTCTTGCAGGATTTGAAGTGGCTTGCTTTTTCGATTCTCCCTCGAATACGTTCAGAATATTTAGAATGCAGTTAGAATGGAGTAAGAATACTTAGAATGCAGTTAGGACGCACTTCAAATGCTGTTCGATATTTTTCCACTTCGAATGTACCTCGAAAGTTTTGAACATGTTCAAAACATTCCGGCATGTTACAAGAATTGACACGAATAGTTGGAGTGCATTCGGAATGGAGTAAGACGTTTTAGAATGCAGTTCGAATTTCCAGGAATCTCCAGGAATTTTCATTCCGACGGCATTCCGCCTCAAGTGTGAAGGGGGTATTACGTGACAGAATCCCCCGCCGCAAATTATCAAATCAAACTTAAAAAGTAATGAAAGTGAAGGTCGTTAAGATGAAGTTAAATGTCAACCTCGCACAAATATTTTCAAGACTCACTTTGACCTTGACATGAAAGTCTTAGTGTATGAAATATGCAAAAATAGTAATAACGAAATTGCTTATTGAAAAACATTCAAGGTAAGTCTTGAAAGTCTATGAAGAAAATCCAGTGAACTGTTCTTGAGATATCTCGCTGACAATCTTTACATGCAGTTTAACATGCTGAAATCTTCAAAGTGTCGCCGTGACCTTGAAAATTAAGTGAAGGTCACCAAAATCGACTTGGCCCTGCGCCTTTATTAGATAAAGCTTAGTGTTGAATATGAAGAAAATCCAGTGAACGGTTCTTGAGATATCTCGCTGACAAGGATAAATTGTTAAAGTCCCCTTGTGACCTTGAAATGAAGGTCAAGGTCACCAAACCTAAATGGGACCTTTCTTTTACTGTGATGAACCTTCGCGCTAAACGTGCAGCGGGGGATAAAAATATCGAACGGAATTTGAAGTGCATTCTAACTGCATTCTTACTGCATTCTAAGGTATGATTACTGCATTCTATGTATTCTGAACATATTCGAGGGAGAATGGAAAAGGCAAGCTACTTCAAAATCTGTCAGAATGTAACGAATGCGCACCGAATGTATCTCGATTGCTGCTGGAATTCAGGTGGAATATTCTTCAAATGTATCGAAATATTTCGATTCTAGTTGGAATACAGCTCGAATGTACCTCGAATACAGTCAGAACGTCCCGAATGCTCTTCAAATGAGCCCTGACGTGATCAGAACACCGCCGAATCGCATAAAAATGTTGCCGTCCATCACTGAAACGTCCAGATAGCATTTGGGAGTTGCCAGTAAAATATTGTTTATTTTGACATTCTCTCCCGAATGCGGTTCAAATTTTGGAAATATTTTTCTTCTTGCTGATTCCTTCTCCTTGGTTCCTGTCAATTCGAAATAAGTATGAAGGAGCCTTAAGAAAATATGGGGCCTCCTTACCTGGCAACTGCCCAAAGATGGCAATGCTGTTATCACAGGGGCTTGTAACACAAACACATGGCATCAAGGTGTATTCCCTCACTGACGGGGTCTTCACACTATATAAAAGGTGACAGTATACACCTTGAAGCCAGTTATTTGTGTTACAAGGCCCTGTGACCGTAATGACATTGTGGACTATTGCAAGAGATGTTGGATTTCACCAATCGACTGCCAGCCGATTGGCCAGAAAACTAAAGACGATAAGGATCGTCAGCGTTCGGGGGAAGGATACAGCCCTTCTCACAATCACGACACTTAATTCATTCATGTCAAGTGCCGTGTAAAACACAGAGTGGCTTCCACATTGTCGTTTGTCGTTAGTCCGCCTAAATCACCTACAATCGGCCAGGTAATAGAGTCAGACGACTTATCAGACGTCCGTTGTTAATGCCAGAGCACCAAGTCATGGGGAAATGTCCACTGGTCGGACCAAAGTCGATTTCTTTAGTTCATAGTTGATGAAACACTGCACATAGACAACGGAATATCTTGGAGAAAGTACCGTTTAGTGGGGTATACTTGATCTTATGGGGAGATCACTGACAACCTAGACAGGGCTGTTGTACCAAATTTCAATGACCATCCTCTGAACACAAGGCCAGTCTTCATGCCAGGCCACGTCGTGCACATGCCATTGGTGATTTCTTACGTCACGAGGAGGTAGCAAATGAACCGATGACATGTGTGAACAGAGTCAGCGAGCCTGACCACCCGATCCCGTTAGTCGCCTCTTACGACAAGCATAGTCGCCTTTTGTGGCAAGCATAGGTTGCTGAAGACCTATTCTACCCCAGATCTTCTAAACGATAGGGGGGTGTTTCAGCAAAGAAGTTAATGTTTTGCATTCTATTAATAACTACATGTATCCATGTGCAAGATTTTAAACTCTTGTTCCAAAGTCATTTTCATTTTTATAAAAGAATTGACTCATGTTGTTGAATCTTCTTGGTTGCATGCTATACTTTAACCTCACTTACTCCAAATGTGTCTCTTATTCATTCCTGACATTTTCCTATTCTCTGTATCATTTATAGACATGAAAGACGGATGGATAGACAGACAACGTGCATGCGTGTGTATGTGTAGGTGCAGCTGCTTGTACTAGTCCAGACTGAAGCTGGTTTTATAGTGCTAGCCCACTGAGATACCAAGCTGCAGTGAAGCATGGATACCCCACTCAGACACATTATATTGACTCCGAGCCGACCAGTCCTTGTTGTACCCATTAATGCCGAGCGCCAGGCAGGGACCAACAAGTACCATATTTTAACGCCTTTTGGTATGACACGGTCGGGGATCGAACCCGGGACCTTCCGCTCTCCGGGTGGACGCTCTAACCACTACACCAAGGAGGCAAGTTCAGTTGACACAAAACACAAACAAAAATTTGTTATGTAAATTTATACAGACAAGTTCTTCAGAAAAAATGCAAGAACTGTGCTGACAAAACATAACTTTAGATTCATCCAACCATGGTACGCTTTCGGCCTCTCATTCGAACTTCTTCCAACTTTTTCATGACTTCAACAGCCTCCTTTGTATTTGTCTGTGAATAGTATTTTAAGACAGTGTCAAACAAGTCTTCAGTGCCTGGATGTGTGCTCAGTAAGGCTCTCTCTAGCACGTACAGATCAACACCTTTATCTTCAGAAACATTTTCAAAATGACTGAGACCAAAGTCAATAAGTATGACACGTCTATCTTCAAGCATGCCCTTCAACAGCATGTTTGATGTTGTCAGGTCTCCATGGACAATGTTATTGCTGTGCATTTTCCCAAGTAGTTTGCCTATCTCAGCAGCTAATGGTTGCAGTCTCTCCACAGCATCATCAGGGTACTGTTGCTGGGTGTCTGCAATGTGTTTCCGGACGGTCATGGAATCCTCTATCAGCTCCATGTAGATGCTGTTAGCCTCCTGGTCCACCATGTACACGGTCGGTGTGGGGATGCCTGGACACAAACAAGTAATCAGAGTAACCAGACAGTGAAAACACAGAGGAATGACAAAAGTTTGGACAGATATATTTTCAAATGACAAGTGAACTTGACTGAATGGGAGTAAATACCAGTCCGAAATATTTTAGTCATGTAAATAGAATGTATGATCAAAATCTAACGCACACATATGCTGCAGCAGGACACTCTAGACACTATATCAACATCCATGTTATGTTCTAGCTTATCAGAGCTGATATGATGATGGTTTTACATTTGTATTCTGTAGCTGACGCTATGACGGAGCTTGTTTAGGATGGTGAAATAGCCACTATAGACACTGAAACGTTTGAAGGGGAGAATCGCATAGCTGAATGTCCTATACTAAATTTCTACGATTATTAGTCACTAGCAACGATTTACAGCTATCGATATATAGAGCTAAAATGTGACATTTAACATAACAATTCAATGTGGAAACCACTAAGACGGAACCCACCATGTGTTCTACATCGCAACATTGCCCGAACTTCGCCTTTAATTCTCTGAGAAGTCAGAGATTTATCTAGAGTTGGGTGTCGGTAAGACTTCGAAAATCGCTCCTTAACCATACAAGGTTGTCCATAAAACGAGCTGCTATAGAGCCTAGCTTCAGCTCCTTGTTGGACAAGTTGTCTTTCCATTTTGATAAATACCTAAGCTATTAAACATTGAATGATTGGAAGCTCTCATCAACATTCACATGCAACTTCCTGTAAGAAATCTAAACAAGGGAGAGGTTATTTATGCAGAACATATTTTTCTACAAAATATGTCTGTTGCGGATAGATCTATTTGCAACTGATTTGTTAGGTTAACGTTAACAGTAAAAATATTTCCTATCGTTATATTTGTGAAATAGCTTCATTCTAATACTCAAAATATAGCCAAGAGTGGCACAACCAAGACTCCCTACATCTACTTGTATTTCCAATACCAGAGAATCATTAAAGGGAGATAATCTGGACATTCACATGTCATTATGGAGGGTAAATCTCAAGGCAGTACAGACTTATCCAGCGATATTGATTCACAAAACATAACATGCTTCTATTTTCCAACATCCTTCTCATCACAGAAAGTGAGTGCTATGGGTTTCGCGTTCCCTTGTTGTGGGTTTAAAATGACATACGATGCATTTGTCAGACTCGCCTGCTTTCAATGTCATCATTAATTTTGTGTGCTGAATTTACAAATTCAAACACTGTTTAACACTGACTTGCTGATCGGACAGTACTATTGATGCCACCTTCCATTGAGCCAGCTCTGTGGATGATAAATGTGATTGTAAAGAGAATGTCATTAACAGCTATACAATAGCCCCAAACCTCACCAATACCAGGGGCAGGGATAATCTACAACAGGGATAGGTCACTCGCTTGCTTTCTTTACCATTTGTACTAATTTGCGTGTGCCTCGTCATGCTCCAACGCACACAGTGACTTGATTCGTTCCCAGCGCAACTTCGGCTGCGTTTAACAGTACTTCAGCCAGTTTATTGTATCAGTCGGAATTTTACAATGAATGATGAAGAGCAAGAGTTATATGTGAATGAATGATAAAGAAATAAAGAAAAAGAACAAAACAAAGAAATACAGACAGACAGACAGACATTTTATTTCAGTAATGTAGGCCCTTGGCCCATAATACAACATAGTGCAATTATAAAGAATACATACATGCTGGATATAGGATGACGATTGGAGTACAGGGTCAATTGATAGTAGTAGTGGATTTATGTTTTAGTTTTAATACGGTGGAGAGGAATGTACTTAATGATTTTAGATAATTTATGTCGTTGCGAGTAATTAAACGCACACAAGTTTCAATTGTTGCAGGGTGGGCCTGGTTGGTTTGTGAAACATTTATTTCTTATTTCAGAATATTTACCACAGATGAGTAGAACATGGAACTCATCTTCAACATAGTTTAAACCAACAGAGTGGCAGTAAAGGCAGAGACGTTGATCATAGGGTGTATTTGTGTGGCGGCCAGTTTCCACTGCTAATCTAAAGTTGTTACAGCGGGAACATAGCCATAACTTTCCTTTGATATGGGAGGAGGTCACATGACAAGTAGTGTTCGACATTAAGTAAACATTTAAATTGTGAATAATATTTACATTTAGATGAAGAGTCAAGTGAGGAACGCCAATTTTGAAGGAAGCAGTCATAAAATCGCTGCTTGAAGATGGATATAAATGTTTTAATGCAGCCAATTTCTTGTGAGATCCATACAAACCCAAAACCATACTGAAAAAGGATTTGTCTTATATGTGAAGCCCAAGTAGATTTATTATTATCATCGAGAGATTTGAGCATTTGGTAGGCCTGATAAGGAAGTCTATGATGTTGTAGCTGCAACAGTCTGCACCAGTACATTATTGATCTAGAGGTATAGTGGTATTGCAGTGAGAGTCTGCCACACTCTCCAAGCACCATGCTATTGTTGGTATTCTTGCTGACTTTGAGAAAAGTCTTACAGAACTTAAAATGTACAGTTTCAATATGTCTTTAATAAGGGGGTTCCCCATATCTCTGATCCATAACACAGAATAGGTGTATTCATGGAGTCAAATATCTTAAAAATGACCTTGTGATTAATACATCCAAAATGTTTCTGGTAATTATAGATGGAGAATATAGCTTTGCTAAAGAAATACATATGTGAATGAATGAAATAATAAATGATACACCACGGCCATCCCTCCCCAAACATGTTAAAGAACGCAAAACTATCGCTGGAACATATGTGTTAACATCAGCTGTCCTTTTAAAAAAAAATCTACTTTGATACATTTTTTTACATTAGTAATTAATTCAGATATCTTACTGCATGTGTGGAATGGCATGGACATGGACAGAATGTTAACTGACACTGTCACACACCCCTCAAAAACAGAGAGTGTAGAACTATCACAAAGCGTTGTAAACACCTTTCCAGTTTTGTCAAATACTAAGATCAACAAGAAAGAAAGCAGTTTTAGAACTATAGCACTCAAGCATCACAAGCATCAACGGCGGATCAGAACAGATCGGCGATATGTCATATTTTTCACACACCTCAAATACACCCTAACAATTTTTTTATAATTATAAATCTATCACTATTACTTGCAAACACCTTTCACCTGATGGTATATTCCCCTCACAAAAATTAAAGGTGTATGTGATAGATGTTTTAGAACAATAACTAGAAACACTCAAACAATGCCCTGTAGTATTTCAATGGCAGATTGGCGATATGTCATATTTTTCACACCCCTCAAATACACCCTAACAATTTTTTTTAGTTATAAAACTATCACTATTACTTGTAAACACCTTTCAACTAATGGTATATTTCCCTTCTAAACATTAACGAAATATGTGAAAGAACTTTTTAGCGATAGAATTTAGTCTTTCTTCGCTGTGTACCGAGAACTGAAGCCAGTGAGCTACTTGAAACTTAACTACAAATCTACTATACTAATACTGACACTAATAACAATTATTTGACTTAAAATGAAGTGACAGAATAGGTAACTTATCTTCTACATGTAGGTTTTCAGTTGTCACAACACTCAGCGAATGTAATCAGCTGTTGAAAATAAACCAAGCTCAATCTTAAAAACTACGCTGCCGCGATATTGGCTACACTGGTCACGTGACGAGCCGAGGCATACGCTAAGGGGCTTTTCGAGGTGTGACCACTCCCCGTTATATAGTCTCCCTGCCAATACTCAAGGGCCTTCCCAGATAGCATTCAGACGTTGGCTCAACGTTGACAATGGTTTTGCCAACATTGCCAACGTTGGGCCAACGTCCGAATGCTATCTGGGTTGTAACCATAATAATCTTTATAGATGATTACATGTTTCCAGACTTTTACCATGTTTACTGTTCTAATAACTAAAGATTCTTTAGTGCTTGAATTTGTTCTTTGCCAGTATTCAAGTAAGCAAGACTGAGTTCCTACAGGTCGGCAGAAATTCATGTTAACTTTTGGGAGTACTGCACTTTACCGGGCACAGGATTGTAAAGGGTGCCTAACCCTAACCCTAACCCTAACCCTAAGGATCGTAAAGGGTTGTTTGACTCTAAAGATGCAAGTGAAGGGAGACAGAGCAATTACCGCGATATAGCGAGACAGCGCTTGAGACAGTGCGGTAGGGCAAGGGCTGCGCCCAGTAAAGTGTATTCTAGCCTAACTTTTTTCAAAATGTGAATAATACAGGTTCAGTATGAAGTTTTCGTAAGAAGCGATCTGTTGTTTCAATGCCATCATATATGATAAGTTAAAACTGTTCAAGCAGGGGAGTCAAGGGTATCATCTCTGTTGCTGTTCATGTTGCAGGTGCTGTTGGCTCTCTATGAGAAGAATGTCCAGTTCAAACCCAAGCTGGTCAGTTTGTTCCATGGTCAGCACATGGAGCCATGGTATGTCCGACTAAACCCTGATGGTGTCCATGTGCCTGTGTTGAAGGATGGGACGAAGATCATCAACAACCCAGAAGAAATCATCGACTACATCGACATGATGTCCGACACTGGTAATGCTAGGCCATATTCTTTCCTGGGTTATGGTGAGGTGAGGTGAGGTTTAAATTGGGTTTATTGTCGTGCTTGAGAATATTTTGCTTATATGACGACGTGCATGCGTGTGTATGTGTATGTGCGGCTGCTTGTACTAGCCCAGACTTAAGCTGGTTTTATAGTGCTAGCCCACTGAGATACCATGCCGCAGTGAAGCACGAATACCCCACTCAGACACATTATACTGACTCCGAGCCGACCAGTCCTTGTTGTACCCATTAATATCCCTGGTTTATGGGATGTGGAGGTGTATATATATATGTTTTCAGTATGTGCCCCAACCCCACTAGTCTGCACAACTAGATTTACTTAAGGTTACAAGCCTCAGTAGCTTGCCTGGCCATATTTTACTGCTGTTGACCCTTTAGGACCAAATCAATTTTACTAGACTTGACTGGGCTTGTTGATAAATTCACACATCACACATAAGTTTTTTGAACGAAACAGATTCAGAAATGCGGTATTTTCTCATATGTTTTGTTTTCATCATTTTCATAGGATATTTTATAACTTTCACTTACAAATATCTCAGACAGTACAAGCTAGCATAGTCATGTTGAGCAAAGGCTTCATTAATGATATATGTTCATTTAAAGAGCAGTGATTTAAAGGTTTTACTTGTCACTTGTTCATTTCCCCAAATGGGTACGATGTGTTAGCATGTTAAACAGGTCTTATCATCTCTTACCGATCTGTCTATCTCTCACAACCAATAGTATCAATTTTTACTAGTCTCATCATCTGTTACTAGTCTGTTCATCTCTCGTCAGTTTACTAGACCACCTCAGTGGTGTTGTGGTTAGAGTGTCCACCTGGAGCGCGGATGGTCGTGGGTTCGATCCCTGGCGACGTCATACCAAAAGGCGTTAAAATTGGTCCCTGCCTGGCGCTCGGCATTAATGGGTGTAACAAGGACTTGTTGGCTCGGAGGCTGTATAATGTGTTTGAGTGGGTTATTCATGCTTAACTGCGGCATGGTATCTCAGTCAGATAGCTCTATAAAACCAGCTTAAGTCTGGGATAGTACAATCAGCCACACATACACACGTTGTCATATGAGCGAAATATTCTCAAGTACAACGTTAAACCCCACTTCACATATACTCACCAGTTTACTAGTCTTACCTTTCTACTCTCATCATCTGTAATGAGTATGAGAATCTTTACTAGTATCATCATCCCTTACTTCTCTTATCATGTCTTACTTCTCTCATCCAAGTCTCATCCTCCTAGTCTCATCAATTTGTATTAGACTCTTCATCTCTCACACTTGGCTACCCATGAAGGTCCGGGTTAGAATGTGCCTTCAGTAACACATGCTTGT